TTTTTTTATTTTTAACTTTTTAACCGTATTTTTTTTTTTTTTTTTTGTTTTTTTTTTTCTTTTTTTTTTTTTTTTTTATTTCTCTATCTTTTATAATAAAGTGAGCTTTTTTTCAAAAAAAAAAAATGAACTTTTTTTCTAAAAAGATTAATCATCATATTCCAAAAGCCGTTCCAAAATATCACTTTAACAAAAAGTTTTTCGAACAACTATCACGTGATATAAGCGACCTTCTAGATAGTGAATATGATTATAACGTCGTTATTGAAATCGGTGAACAACCTAATAGTCATATTTTTAAAGCTCATTCCGCAATTTTATATCAAAGATGCCCTTATTTTCGAAAAAGTTTAAAGGATTTAACCAAATCTAAAAACAACGTTAAAGAAATTAAAATAAATCAAATATCGGCGCGGGCATTTCAAATTATTCTAAGGTTTGTCTCATTTTATCATTTTTTTATAATTCTAAAATTATAATTTTTTTTATACTTTCTCTTATTATTCTATATTTTTTTAGGTATATATACGGAGGTACCGTTTCATTAGAGAACCTTGAAACTTCGACAATATTTGATCTCATGGTTTCTGCTAATGAATTAAGTCTCGATGAGTTGGTTCAATATCTTGAATCTCAACTCATAGAAAATGATCCACATTGGTTACGTCAAAATTTCGTTCGAGCATACGATACAAGTACTAGACAAGGAAATCTTAAAAAACTTTATCAATTTTGTGGTGATATTATAGTAAATAATCCTGATCTAATTTTTGTTGCGGATGATTTTACATCTCTTCAAGAAACTATTTTAACTTCACTTCTTAAACGAAAAGATTTACAAACTAAAGAATCAAATATTTGGGAATTAATTATTAGATGGGGAATTGCACATAGTAAAATATTTTTAACACCGAATCCTGCTGATTGGTCAGATAAAGAATTTACCGCTTTAAGAACTACTTTACAAAATTGTTTACCACTTATTCAATATTCAAAAATTACTGGTGATGATATACTTTATAAAGTACAACCATATCAAGCAATTATTGAACCAAAAACTTGGTCAGAAATGATACAACAATATAATGAACAACAACCTATAAAAACTGATTTAGAAACTTCTCGTACAACTTTGATGCCAATTTTTTCATCTGGTGAAAATCCTATTTCTACTACAACTACTATTCCAACATCTGATAGGGACGATTGTTCTATATTTTCGGATATTTTATCACCCGTTATTTCTTCATCTTCATCTTATAAAATGAATTTAAGTATACCATCATTTCCAGTTAGTCCATCATTTTCAGCTATAATTACCAGAGAACAAACTGCACAAATAGCTTCTTGGATAGATCATAGTTTAACAACTTATGATATAAGGAATAATCCTTATAAATTTAAATTAATATTTAGAGGTAGTCAAAATGGATTTGACGATGAATCATTTTATGATCATTGTGAAAATCATTTTCGTACTATAATAGTTTTAAGAGTTAAAGGTACTAATGAAATTCTTGGTGGATATAATCCTTTAACATGGACTAAAGATCCTGAAAAATGGGCAAGATCTGATGATAGTTTTATTTTTTCTTTAAAACGAGATAATCATGATAATAATGAACCAATTATTAGTCGTATACAAAATGCTGATCATGCTTTATTTTATGATCCTAATTTAACTTTTGGTTTTAATTTTGGTGGGGGAGATTTAGGAATGATGAGAAATTTTAATAATGATATTTTATGTTGGAGTCAAAAATTGAATTATGAAAAACCTATTAGAAGTCAAAGTGGTGGATTTCAAATTGATGAATATGAAGTTTTTAAAATATGTGGAAAAAGATCTCAAAAAAATATTTATTAAAAAATTATTAATATACGTGTTATCATTTTTTTAAAAAATATTGATAATACTTTATTAATTCGTTTTGTCAAAAGAAGGTTTTTTTTTGATGATTCTGTCGATAATACGTGTTGTAGAAATTTAAATAAATATTTCTAAAATAAAAAAAAAATAAAAATAATTTCGAATAAATAAAAATCGGGGTTTTTTTTTTTTTTATTCGAATTTTGAATCTTGTCTTAACTGTTAAGAAATACAGTAAAAATTCGCGTCGTAAGCTGATCTAATCTTTAGTTTTATGTACTGTACCATTCCTGTACATGCTCTCACACTTTGATTTATCTCTAATTTATATTAACTTACTGACTTTAAACATCAAAAGTGGCCTTTGTCATTTTAAATTATTGAAGGTAAATAATAGTGAAGGTAAGCACTTTCTTTCTGTTTGAAATAACGTTAAATTTTCTTTTATACCAATGTCCAGTACTGTACACTCGAGCTTTTTTGTCATGGGACGTCCTTAATACTAATATATATAATTAAACATGTTAAGAGCTAAAAACAGATTATCTGTTATCTTAATCTAAATTACTACTATTATATTTACTTCTTGTCCCAAATGTCTCGTGTTCAACTCCAATGTCATTACAGGACATAATTTAATACGCCAACATTATATCGTACAATCTTGCGTATTTATAAAACAAACTTTAAATTAGCATTCTGTAAGAAATCAAAATTCACATTTTATGGAATTTTTTTGTTACGTGATGCTCGTATAAAAACCATATTTTGGACCGCAGTTGAGACGCGCGATAGTATGAGATTTTTTTATAGACAAGTTTCCCCATGAATGTATTAGTATGCAAAAATTAGAATAATCAATAATGTTTTTTAGAAACTTACAAGATTGACAAGATACATTTAGTTTTATACATACCGTATATCTGATATTTACTAATTAAATTTCTTGTTAAGAAATGTATCGTCATCAATTTTTTTTTTTTTATGAAACATTTTTATTAAAACATATCTATCTCTATATACTATACAGTATATTATTTTCATAAACTAATTAACTGGTGCATAGTGTTCTATATAAGTAAAATGTTTTTTATTTCCAAACCTTTTTTTAAACCCTAAACCTAACTCTAAATAATAGCCCTAATATGAAAAAAAAATTTATTATTGCAGTATTAGAACAAGTATTAGAACAAGTTATATTATACGTATCTAAAAAAAAAACAAATCTTGTTAAATATAAAGATTTCAAACCACAATAATAATAATAGTAAATTTAATGTCGGATTTTGAAAGATTATTATTTTTTAGTAAATCAGATTATTCTATAAATAACTTTCTCTGGATCCTCTGGATCCGCAGTTTAACAAGAAAGTATGTCTGTCCAGGCCTACAGTAGCAAAGCAAAGTACTAGATATGGTCTAGCTTGCTTATTAATTCACGTAGAAAGACAGCGAGTCAGATTATGTAAATCACCTGTTCTCGCCTGAGTCACGAGATTGGAATTCTCGGGTAAATGTAAATTCTACTAACGCTAATCACATCTAATCTAATCAATATAGATACAATATTTAAATCTCGATCACATAGATACATTTAAAGTATCAAAGTCGTATTTAAAGTTTAATAGACAGTAATGTCTAAGCAAGGAAACGGCACCTATTGGTTTATTTCAGGTATTGTTAATTGAAAATAAAGACAAGACAAATCGCTTATGTACGAGCCATTGCATGTGGTGTGGACAAAATGTGTCTTGGAGAAGGCATGCACTAAGAGGAAGCTTGTCCAGCATGTGATCTATGTACGAAGCATGTCTAAGAACTAAGCATGTCTAAATGTATACTTTTGTTTTAGTTCCTGCTGAAGGAAACAAGTCGATCGTATTTCAGAATTTGAAAGCAAAACTATCAGGTTCACAAGCCGATTTAGCCGAAGTATATCAATTCCTAATTCCGGAATTTAAAGTGAGCTCGCAAAGTATCTCAATAATTTATTATATAAATACTGTATTTTTACTTACCTTCTTTGTTGATAGATAGGCACTCTCGATGCACTTGTCGTTATTTCTGATGAACTCGTAAAATATGATCAGTTTGTCGAAAGCGTAGCTTGGAAAATTGTAGATATTCTTCGTATTCTATTGAATGGAGATATAGATAAAATTTGTGCCAATCTATTGGTGAATGATAGTAGGTTAACTATATAATGAGTTTGGTTTATAAATAATCCGTTAGTTTTAACACTTTTAATTTTTAACTTAGAAACCGTTGATCAGTATCTGAAAACATTTCAATGGGATATAATGAAATTTAGAGCAGAAAAATCCCTTCAAGAAATAGCAGAAATTCTTAATGAGGTTTAAATTAATTTTATTTTCGTACATTATAAATTCAAAAAAAAAAAAAAAAAAACCCCACTAATATATAATATAATATATATCTGCTGTCATTACTAGGAAGTATCAGCGATTGATACGAATATGAAAGCAAAATTAGCACATTACAATCAGGTGAAAGGCAACCTTCAAGCTTTGGAGAAAAAACAAACGTGATAATTTTTTTATATTTTATTATAATAAAAATAGAAGGTTTTTTGTTAATTTAAAGTTCTGATCTATATTTATTTTTGTATTAGTGGGAACTTATCCGTTCGTAACTTGGCAGATGTTGTTAAAAAAGAACATTTTGTTTTGGATTCTGAGTATCTGGAAACTTTGCTTGTTGCAGTCCCAAGGTAAGTCATACTAATGATTTTTGTTTATTGGATTTAATTCTTACAATATTTAAATACCATTTGATGATATAGAAATCATTATAAATCATGGCATTCCAAATTTGAAACATTAACTCAATATGTTGTACCTCGCTCGACTCAGTAAGTTCGATAAAGCATTATAGCATTTTTAATATATTAACATATTTTATCGTCGTATCTAATGTACCTAATGTGCCTAATAACGTTAATATAGGAAAATTGCTGAAGACGATGAATATGGACTATTTAATGTGACACTTTTTAAAAGAGTCTCTACTGATTTCGCTAATAGATGTCGAGAAGAAAAGTAAATCGTTTTTCATTATATAAATATAAATATACAATTGTGTACTCATTATTAAAAATTGGCATGTTACAGGTTTATTTGTCGCGATTTCAAATATAATGAAGATGAAATGGCTAATCAGCGTAAGGAATTTGAAGAAGTGGGTGCTACGGAAAAAGAATTATGGGTAAATTTTTTCAACGTTCAAAGACTTTTTTAATTATAAAATGGATCATTTTAATTAATTTACTTTATTATCTCAATAATTTATGTAGTCTGCATTATTACGTTTAGCCAATACAAATTTTGGTGAAGTTTTTTCAGCTTGGATTCATTTCAAAGCAATGAAAGTATATGTAGAATCTGTTCTCCGTTATGGATTACCTCCAGATTTCATGTCTGCGACAATAAAGGTGTGTATCAATCACTTTATTTTATTTTGAATTGCTATTATTATTATTATTATTATTATTATTATTATTTGTAATTTTTAATATTTTATGAAATATTTAAGCCAAAGCCGAAGATGGATAAAAGAATAAGAGAGATATTGAACAATCAATACGGAAAATTGGGTGGTGTATTAAGTAGAGAAACACAAAAAGACGAAGCTATTGAAGAATATCAAAATCTAATTGATAAGGATTATTATCCATATGTGTGGTTTCAGATTCAATTTAATGTAAAAAAGATAACTTCGTGATATCTTATTTATTTAATCTCGGTTCTCATTTCTGAAAACGTGAATAATGTTACTATCAATTTTTGTTATTATTTATATCTTCTGATTTTTTGCATTTGACTTAATTTATTATTAACGATAGCATACATTTATACAATCACATTTCTGATCTAAAGAATTGATGATTAGCATAAAAAATTATTAATGTCGTGCTATTATTATATTCTTAAAATTGAAAAATGAGATTTATAATTGTATTACTAAATTTATACTTATTCATTAATATATATCCAAGATTTACTAATTTAAAACCTTAATTGCAATCAGACTATCTAATTAAATACATCTTTTATTTATATGTTGAAAGGTTGTTTTTTTTATAATAATTCTTGCTAAAAAGTATCAAAACGAAGGATACGATCATAATATTGATCGTTATAATATTTAATGTCACGGATGATGCTGATACTGAAATTAAAAACCTATTTAATGTACGTTTTTTAAAATTTTTGAAATACACTTTTTTAGGTTTTTTTTTTTTAGATTTGAACTATGGTTTAGGGTTAGGGTTTATAATAAAAGAATATACGTGAAATATACTGTAAATTTTTATATGCTTTACATATTTATAACAAATAACTTTAATTTTTAAATTAGTAATATTTGTATTATAAAAAATAAACTTGATAAATTTATTTATTAGAAACAAAACTAGATATTGCATTTGTAAAATGTACTTTAGAAATCAAACATATTTTATATATTTTATATACAGTATAGTCACTATTACATTTTTTTTTAAAAACCAATTATATAAAAAATATATAAAGTTATTTTTTATATAGTCACTTTATTAATATAGATATTAACATCTAGTCTTGGGTCTACCAAACCAAATTAGCTGAAATTTTTACTAATAATAGTTATATCAATGGGCTACAATATATTAAAATTTTAGCCAATTTAAGTTAATAGTTCTTGAGTAATTACTTTAAACCAATAAGTAATATTTTTAAAAATTATTTATTATTTTTGAGCAATTTCTTAAGAACTGCTAATCTGAGTTGGCCAAAATATTAATATGTTATAACCCAATAATATATCTATCTTCAGTAAAAAATTTTAGCTAATTTGGTTTGGCAGTTGTTAAGAAAATCAGAGTCAAAGGTTAATATAAATCTAGAAATTAAAAAAATATAAGAAAAATCAAAAAAATATAAATTTATATTAATCTCTGGCTCTGCTTTTTTCAACAACTACCAAACAAAATTGGCTGAACTTTTTACTGAAAATAGATATGATATATTAAAATTTTAGCTAATTCAAATTAGTAATTCTTGAGAAATTACTCAAAAACAATAAGTAATAAAAATATTATTTATCATTTTTAAGCAATTACTCAAGCATTGAACCCAAATTGGCTAAAATTTTAATAAACTGTAGCCCAATATTATATATAACTTCAATAAAAATTTTAACTAATTTGGTTTGGTGGTTTTTTAAAAAATAAAAGCTAAAGATTAATATAAAATTATAATTTTTATATTTTTAATATTAAATTAAAAATTTTTGTTTATAAAACCTCTATTTAGTTACAAGATATTATTTTTAATATAATGGGACTATATAGAGTACACTCTATATGGTGCAGGACATCTAAAGACATCACAGGTGCTGAAAATTTTGCAGATCATTACTTATAAAAATGAAGATGTTTGGTTGAATTTTTTATAGTTAATTTTAATTTTTTTATAATAGTGCTGAAATTTTTAAAATTCTAAGTAAAATAACTTTTAAACAAAAGACCTTTTTAAAAAAAACTCTCTATATTAATATTCTTTAGGTTTTTAATAATATAACTATAGAAAGATTTTTTTAAAAAACATTCTTAGTTAAAAAGCTATTAAGCTTTTATTGCAAGCAATTATTTTGTGATGTGACTAGATGTCCTGCACCATATTAGTTACACTTCTATATAATTACTAATTTTTGTATTTTAATAGTGTAACTATAGAGAGGTTTAACTATATTAATATATTAATTAGATAGAATTAAAAGTAAAATTAATACTATTTTTCTAATTAAGCATTGTTATAGAACGAATTTATTATTAGTTTATTATTTTATTATTTATTATTTATTAATTATCTTAGAATATTATTAT